ACGACTTCTAGTGAGAGGGAGAAAGGAAAAGAAATGAAGGGGGAAAGGTGGACATCAAGGAGGAGGAACAGAGGACCCTACGTCTCTCCTTACGCTTAAGGCTTAGTGGAAGCCACCGGAATCGGTGGTGGCGGCAGCATTCACTCCCTCTCCAGCGCAAAAGGCCAAAGTAAGTGAGAACCTTGCACTTCTAGAAGGTAGCAGCCATGACGGTAAAGCCACTTGTTCCTTCCAGTCAGCCAGTGCCTACTCAGTACCCTCCAGCCTTGTGAAGGCTCTCAAAAAGAAACAACAGGGCGGGGGGGGGGGGAAGTCCACTTCCATTATTTCGTCTGGTAATTGTGCAACCTTTCATCACTACTAATTCTAATCCATTAGACACTCAATCAATTTGGCTTTAATTCTCCAGTCACGATCTTACACAGCTCAGGTTCGTAGTAGAAAACTGTTTTATGCTTTGCTGACATTGACATACACGTTAACAGGCTGAGCTACACTCTTCTTACCTCAGACAAATTAAAGCAAAGGCCACTGTACCACAACACCTTGCCTGAAAGAACGTTTCTTTTTAACACATCATTGCATTCAAACAAGAGGTCCTGTGTATCAGCTGTCTCTCAAAAAGAGCTTCCCCAACACCAGGGAAACCACTCTGGTTCTATCACCTTAGTTTCACTGCTGCGGAACGCGCAGAGTCACAGCTGTCAAATAATTAAAAAAAAAAAAATACATGGGCACAAACCGAAGCATAGGAAGTTCCGTCTGAACATGAGGAAGAACTTCTTCCCTCTGAGGGTGACGGAGCCCTGGCACAGGCTGCCCAGGGAGGCTGTGGAGTCTCCTTCTCTGGAGATACTCAAGACCCACCTGGACAAGGTCCTGTGCAGCCTGCTCTGGGTGACCCTGCTTGGGCAGGGGGGTTGGGCTGGGTGACCCACAGAGGGCCCTGCCAACCCCTACCATGCTGGGTTTCTGTGAATACAATCTCTTTCTCAAGAACGCATTAGTACAGACAGTCTGCAAATAGTGCTGCAGCCAATTGCTGTACCCAACTGACCAAGAGTCCAAAAAAATTTTCAAATTCCCTATTTTGTTGGGTGGCCATTTGTTGTTTTAGAACAAGATTTGAAGACAACACAGCAGATTCAGTGACAAGAAATTAATTGCTTTGATCATATTAATCTCAGTGACAAATTTCAGGGCTCTTGCATATATTTAGATGCTATTGAGCAACAAAAAGAGAGATAACTAGGAGGAAAAATGTAAATATATGTGACTAAATTAAACATTGATCCTATCTTTGTAGTTAATACGCAGAGGTGTTTCTGTACCTACACATGCTGCTCCACTGCAGCAATTTACTTCATAAACTGGCTTCAACAGGGATTAATTTCTAGGAATAAAAAAAAAATTATGAAATGAGTGTGCTTTGTTTGTATCCACCAGAAATTTATTTTGGCAACAGCTTATACCAAGTACTGATAAGCCATCTTCAGGGCTTCAAATTCATGATTAAGCTTCAGCTCTGCCATGGACTTCTGTGGTCCCGGCAAACCAGCACCTCCATGTGCCTTATTTTTGTCAGCTGTAAAGGAATGATAACGCCTAACTCAGCTGACAGATAAGAGTACCTGCTCTGGGTGACCCAGCTTCGGCAGGGGGTTGGACTGGGTGACCCACAGAGGTCCCTTCCAACCCCGACCATTCTGTGACTCTGTGATTTTAAACGCCCAAATTATTTTAAAGCTCCCTCTACCGCAAACTTTGGCCACGTTCAGTTCTCCCTCACGTTTAACTAAGAGCAGAAACAGCGTCCAGGACAAACCCCTCCTTCCCCCGTCACCCGGCAGAGGCGGCCGGTA